GTTTTCAGAGATTAAAATGAATGTGCCCCAAACACAAGCAAAAAGGTGGAATGCACGAAGCTGACCAGATTCATTAAACTTGCTGTGTTTCGTTTTGGAGAAGTGCATTCACCTGTTAATTTTATGCAACACGTGCTCCTCGGTTATGGCAATAATGATTATTGCCACTAGCAGGTAGAAGAAAACTGTAGCCAAATCTTTGACACCACAGTAATAAAGGGACACTGATTCAGGAGCTTGTTCTTCTGTTGCAGGGAGGGTAGCATTGTACTGCAGAGTAACAGAAACGATAGAAGCTTTCCTGTTACCTGGAACATGAGCCCCAGCAGGAACACCACCCCACACAGGGGACGATGTCCGCGTGATTCTGCAGGATGAATTCGTGGCTCAGGACTGGAGGGTGGTGTGGGAGGCTCTTGGTGCAGTCCTTGTGAGTCACCAGGGTGGGGCCGCCTGCAGGTGCTCCGTCCATTCTGCAGGATGAATTCGTGGCTCAGGACTGGAGGGTGGTGTGGGAGGCTCTTGGTGCAGTTCTTGTGAGTCACCAGGGTGGGGCCGCCTGCAGGTGCTCCGTCTGCTCCTGTCACTGACTCACTGACTCTGCTGCCGCCACCTCCTCCCCCAGCTGCTCCTCACAGCCCAAGTGATGCATTTATAAATAATAGGGAGGAAAGGGCCTTGTATGCACCCATGGGGTATAGTTTTATTTGTGGAGGATTTTGCAGCTAACCTTACAATGGGTAACCTTGATAGATGAAAAATGAAGGAGCAATGTGGGCTAGAAATTTTAATAGTATTTTTGTTGTTTCTTAATCAGTCAGAAACAGAACATGAGTTCACTTCTCTTAATCTGCATCATAGGTTAAAGAGAGCATTGCGAGAATGGCATTACCCTTCTGGATGGGCATCATTTGTTAGGTTTTCATTTGTTTTGTTTTCCATGGCTTAGAGTAAATATAAATGAGACAATGATTTATTTTTTTATTTTATAAATTTATTTTTTATTAGCATATTCATTGTTACAAATCATACTTATTCTTTATGTCCCTTTCTCCCCCCTCCTCCTCCCCTCCTCTAATGACCATAGATTCATTCTCTCCATCTGATAGATTAACTGTTCCTCTGTTGGTTTGTTGCCTAGATGATCTGTCCGGTACTGAGACAGGTGTGATCAACTCCTCCCTATTATGGTAAATCAGATGCTGCTTCTATTACTCTCGAGTGTGCTTTTTGGAGACAGATGAGCTCTTCTCTTTATTTTTGGTCTCCACTGGTGCCTCTCCTTGTGTCAATGCAGTTGAGAGTCTGGGTGCCATTTGCATGGTGGCTGTGACTGCTGCTATAGAGACTAGCCACTTTTGTTGTAGCCACGACTATTGCAGTGGCTATGGTGGGCTACCCATGTGAAAATGGTGTTTTTGGTGTGCTCTTTACCTTTTTGCAGCTGGGTTTAACTTCCCCCAGCTTTGTGCCTCAGGCACCGGGCAGGGTGCCGAGGTGGTGGTGGCAGCAGCGTGCCTCCATGAGGCAATGATTTAAAAATTATCCCTCACGGGCCGGCCCGGTGGCACACTGCTACAGTGCGCCACTTGGGAAGCGCGGCGGCGCTCCCGCTGAGGGTTCGGATCCCACATACAGACTGGTTCCCGCTCACTGGCTGAGCGAGGTGCAGGTGCGACACCGAGGGTTGCAATCCCGTTGCCGGTCCCGGTCCGGTACGGGCGCGACACTGAGGGTTGCAGTCCGTTGCCGGACACGAAAAAGGACAAAAAAAATAAATAAATAAAAATTTTAAAAAAATTAAAATTATCCCTCACAATAGGCTCCATAGCAGAGTCTATTGCAAAGTCTATGGTTACACAACAGACTTTCTAAGTTCTTTAGGTGCTAAAGCTGTGCTAGATGATAGAAGTGCTCTAGATTGCCCAGTGGATGAGCAGGGAAGAATCTGTACAGTTGCTGACACTTCTTGCACGTGGATGAACACATCGGGTATTATAAATACTCAGTTGCAGAGGATTAACAAATGGTTAAAATGGGTAGACTCTTCATCTGGCTTATTTTTTAATGTATTTCATTTTGCTTTGTTTCTTTCATGGGGACCTTGGCTAAGGAGCGTACTTGAAAAGCTTAGTGTTATCCTCCTGATAGTCAAAATAGTAGTCTCCCTGGCGTGCTGTGTTCTCTCGAAAGTTTTAAATGTTTGCAATGCACCCATCTGTGGAATGTCAAATGGTCTCTCTTCAAATGGAATGATAAAAAGTCAAAGAAATGTGTGATCATGAGGACACTGTAACCTATAAATAATGTGTTGAGACTGGAAACCTAGAATGATGATAACTGAAAGTGGCACGAATACCCTAAATTTTTGCCACACAACCAAAAAAGAGGAGGATTTTTAAAGAAAAATTGTGAGAGGCCATTGTTTTAGACTCAGCTCCTGCACTAGTGCCCCAGCAGATAAGACCAATCCAAAATGGAGTCATTCATATTAAGTGTCACATAATCAAATTAAAATTTTAAGAAAGCAGATAGATCTCAAAACAGACCAACTTGTTTTCTCCTAAAAACAGGAGGTTCCAGCATAATAAGGAAGTCCCCTCTGCTCTAACCCATATGAAAAAGTAACTTGATGCTAATCAGTTTTTTTCTATTGTTCTGTTTTCCTGATCCCACCTTATAAAACCCATTGTTGTTCTATTTCCCAGTGGGATTTGAGATCAAGTAAGTCCATTTTTAATGACGACAGAATGACAGCAGTGCCTAAAGTTGTGGTCAATCTCTCAAAATTGAGAAGTTGAGCAAAAAGGGGGAACTGTTAAGTTTGGCCTAAAGGTTTCTTTAATTTTTTTTTTAGTCTTTTTCTTTCTTTTTATTTATTTATTTTTGTTTTGTTTTGTTTAGCTCTCATTTATGATGAGGACACGCGGTGTTTCTCTTGCTGTGCCTGCACTGGGATTACTGGATCATACAACAGTTCTATCTGTAGTTGTTTGAGAAACCTCCATACTATCTGCCATAATAGCTGCACTAATTTACAGTCCCACTAACAGTGCAGGAGGGTTCCCCTTTCTCTGCATCCTCACCAGCATTTGTTATTCTTTCTTTTTGATAATGGCCAGTCTAACAGGTGAGATGATAACAAGATCAGTGGTTGCCAGGGGCTTGGGGATGAATAGGCAGAGTACAGATTTTTAGGGCAGTGAAACTACTCTGCATGATCGTATAACTTCGTATAATGTATGCTATACGAAGTTATTACGTCAGAAAGACTGTCTTCAAGATCAGAAGTTCTTTCTTTCAGGGCCAGCCTGCAGCTCACTTGGGAGAGCGTGGTGCTGACAACACCAAGTCAAGGGTTAAGATCCCCTTACCTGTCATCTTCCAAAAAAAAAAAAGAAATTCTTTCTTTCACTTGCTCTCGCTTGCTGCCTAAGCTCTCAGTTGTGTTTTTTATTTTATTGACTGAATCTTTCAGTTCCATGAGTTTTGCTACATTCTTTTTTAAGGTATTAATCTCTTTGTAAATTTTTTCCTTCATATCCTGGATTTTTTTTTTCTTATTTTATTATATTGTGTGAGATATTTCCTGTATCTCAGTGAGTTTCCTTAAGATTGTTGCTCAGAATACCTTTTCAGTCATTTCAAGGGTGTATTAGTCCATTCTGTTGTTTATAAGAAAATACCTGTAACTGGGTACTTTGTATGAAAATGAAATTTATTGCTTACAATTTCAGAGGCTAGGAAGTCCAAAGTCCAGGGAACACATCTGGTGAGTCATCTTTGGTGACGGCTTTACAGCTATGCAGGGGTCTCACATGGCAGCAAATGGCAGAGCAGAGAGAAAAACTAACCTCCTCGTTCACTCTCCTTATAGAGCCCTGCCAAGCATGCCCCTGACCACCATTATTAATCCATTCACTTCAATATGGCCTTACAGTCTGATCACCTCTTCAAGGCCCCACCTTCCAATTACCATAATAGGACTTCCCGTCCTTGACAGTTATAGTGGGGATTTAAGCTTCAGTGAGGTCTAGTCTCATTCTTCTACTTAAAGTATTCAGTTTTCTCAGCACTATTTATTCAAGAGGCAGTCTCTTCCTGGTGTATGTTCTTGTTAATGCCTGCACAGTGGCCATAGCTGCTATTGTGGCAGTGAGCTGCCTTTGAAGTGGCAGTGGCTGTGGTGTTGGCTGTGATGAGCCACCTGCCTAGAAGTGGTGTTTGTGGCATGCTCCTGCCCTCTGTCTGGCAGGGGAGGTGCCTGTGATTTCTGCCTGTGTCCCTGGGCATGCTCCTGCCTTCTGTTGGGTGGGGGAGGTACCCATGGCTGCTGCCTGGGTCCTGGGTCCCTGGTGTGCTCCTGCATTCTATCAGGCAGGGGAGGGTGCCCGTGGCTCCTCTCTTTCCTAACAAGTAGCCAAGTCTCAGTCAATTACAGGCAATCAGCTATGAACTTCACTTCCACTTTCTGTATGTCACTTCCTTTTTTCTGTCTGTAAATCTTAACCAGCCAGGCAGCAGCAGTGGAGTCCAGGTGCCCGTGGCTCCTCTCTTTCCTAACAAGTAGCCAAGTCTCAGTCAATTACAGGCAATCAACTATGTACTTCACTTCCACTTTCTGTCTGTCACTTCCTTTTTTCTGTCTGTAAATCTTAACCAGCCAGGCAGCAGCAGTGGAGTCCATCTGAATCTGTTCTGATTCTAGAGGCTGCCAGATTCACAAATCATTCCTTGCTTTATTAAATGCTGATAAACTTAATTTGTCTAAAGTTTTTCTTTCTTTCTTTCTTTCTTTTTTTTGGTCAGCTGGCTGGTTTGGGGAACCAAACCCTTGACCTTGGCATTACAAGGCTGTGCTCTAACCAACAGAGCTAAACTGCCAGCCCTAAAATTTTTCTTGTAATAAGACTTTGGGCAGTTCCCACGCCCACAGGTGGGGGTGTATGTGCACACGCCCAGCTACATCTTGCCTGTTACTCTCCAAAATCTGCTCAAGAATGTCTCTGGCATCTCATACTACATGTCTTCTTTTGCTGCTATTGCTGCTGTTAGAAACCTGGAAGAAGCTGGGCCGTGAGTGTTCTGGGATCATGAGACCTGGGGGAGAAGGGAGAAGGGTGGGGAGGGTGGAGAAGGAGATTGGGGCTTCACACCGGTTTCGGGCAAGTGAGTACTTGCTCTTAAGGATGGGGTGAGGGTGTGGTTTAGCTGGAGAGGTTCCCAGGATGTTACTCCCGGTTCGTGGGGATCCCAGCCCAAGGCACCCAGCAGGTGCTGTGCTCCCATGTGGCAGCTCCCTGTCCCCTGCTCTGCCTTCTGCCTTCCACTCCAGGAAGCCTTTCCTGAACACCCGGACCCATGAGGAATTTGGCATGTGTCCTGTGAGGCCTCTTTTTCCTTTCTGTTGAAGGTCCTGTCTTTCAGGTAGATATTAAGTCCTGGGAGGAAAGACATAGTCTTATATTTTTGGTACCTCAGCACTTGGAGATGTTGCTAAAACTATTTGTCAGATGGATCCTCCTGGTAACACTAGGTACACCCAAAGGGTCCATAGTAACAAATATCTTACTAACCTCAGACAATTAAAGGTGAGATAGGACTAAGGATCCACAGGTGGGGTTGGGGTGTGGGGATGGAGACTCCTTGTGCGGCCAGGCTGGCCCTCCGAGGGAATCTCAGGGTCACAGAAGCGTGGGCTCTAATGGGCCCTCTTCTCCCTGTCCTGGGCTCACCCGCATTTTTCTCACAGATGCTCACTCTCTTTGCCTTGACTTCACTGTCAAATCTCAATCCAGACCTGGACAGCCCTGGTGTGAAGTGCAGGGCTCAGTGGACAAAATGCCTTTCCTTCAGTATGACAGTGACAGCAACAAGGTCAAAGCTTTGGGTCATGTCTTTGGGCATGGACAGAATTGACCCAAACACTGGGAGAAGTAGGGCAAGAGCTCAGGGTGATTCTGCCTAAGGTCAAACTGGAGAATAACAAGACCTGGGGTAAGTGCAGGACCAGGTGGGGAGATGGAGACAGTCAGCAGAGCAGGGCAAGGGGAGGAGCACAGGTAGGGAGGGGACATTAGATGTATTTGAGTTAAAGAACTGAACACTGGCACAAACTCAGAGGCGCATGGGACCTAATGGGTAAGAAGGGGAAAGTTGGTGAGAAAAGATGCAGGCTCCCAAACGTGCAGAGAACGATTTGACCTGTTGGGAGGTGACTGGTCTCTCAAGAGTCAAGGATGATGGCTTTGCATGTGGCTTGCAGGTCCTCCCACTCTGCAGGTCAAGGTGTTTTGTGAGCATGAAGCAGAGCTATGCATTGGTGCATCCTGGCAGTTCACCTTCACTGGACAGCTGTCCCTCCTCCTTATGCAATGAACATGAACTGGACAGTAATTAATCCTGGAGCCAGAGCAATCAAGGAGGAGTGGGAGAATGCCAGGGAACTGGCAGAGTATTTCAGGAAGATCTCAACAGGAGACTGTAGTCACTGGCTCAGGGAATTCTTGGAGAACTGGGGTGAAATTCTTGAAGAACTTGGAGAGCTGGAGCTGCCAGGTGGCTGAGCAGGGTGGGAAGGTGTGGCAGCTCTCTTTAAAGGTCTCCCTGTGTGGATGTCAGCATGTGTGTGTGATGGAACATTCGATGGTCCAATTGATTGAATTCTTGATGGGCTTGCTGTCTGGACAGTCAGTAATGTCCATATCCTTACAGTCCACCCTCCTCTCTTCCCCACCCCACATCCCTGTGCTTCTTCCTCGGTGTAGGAGCCTCCTTGACCATGACCCAATGATCCAGTCACACAGAACTTCTAAATGGTCTCCAAGTCCACATGCCTCATGTAAACTTCCAGCCATTCTCTTCTTCCTCTTTTCCAGCTACCCTTCAGCCAGCTCAGATGTCACTTCTTATGAGCCTCACCAACTTCCTCAGACAGAATTAAGCACCAGTTGCATTACCCTCCCAAAAGTTCTAACCACAGTGAACATGTCAAATTGTATGATAACCCGAGGGACATGTGTCTGTCTCCCTCAATGGAAATAAGAGGAGGTGGAACAAGACACACCCCTATTCATCTTTATACCCTAGGACCTGGTAGAGTGGCTGCCACATAGTGAGTCAGTAAAGTATGTGGGGTGCCCATAGGCTGCCTGGGGAAAGCAGGTGCTGAGGAAAGTATTTTTAGGTTTGACAGGGCTTGTGCATTACTGTTTGTTTTAGTGCCATCATTAAAGGCCCCAGATGCCCACCAGTCTTCATCTATCCCATTAACTGCATATCATCCCAGGGGTCTTCATCTGCCTAGTTCCAATCGTCATTGTCATCGTGCTCATCAGGAGGAGATCAGGCACCATGGAAGGTGAGGAGCAGACTGGCCTCTGGCTCTTGGGTAGGTCTGAGTGTGATAATGACTTGGGAGAGGTGACTCATGGGTCTTACCCAAGCCCCTCCCCACTGAAGATCTCTCTCCACACGAATGATGCACTTTCTTGGTCTTGAGCTCTTGAGCACCCACACTTAACAGTAGGGCTGGGACCACTCTGTTATTGGGGTAGAGGAGGCTGACGTAGGCAGCACAACAGTGCAGTGAGAGGAGGGACAAAACAAGTATCCTGAGGTGGGACAGGTCTAGATCTGGAAAGCCTGGGCAGGGTGTGGTCTCCTCCTGACCCAACCTGGGGCTCCCCCAGCCCTTTGATGGAAAGGTCGTTTGCCCTCTAAGGATAGCATGATTTAGCTCAACAATATTCCTTAATGTCATACCAGCTGTTCCATTACCTGACTATTTCTTGTCTGGATCATGAGGAGATGACAATGTCAGACCAGCCCTTGATGGCAAAAGCTGACCTTTGATGACAGTCTGGCTGCCAATCTAATGTATTATCTCCCACTCTGAGACAAGTTTTCCAGGAAGCTTAAGCTTGAAAATACCTCATTTACATGAGCTCGTTCCATAGCGCTTGCAGGAACATTTATAATGTGTCCACTTGGTCATTTTGAAAATTTTGCAAAAGTAAGATATTTGCTCACAATCAATTAGGATCACCAGTTTTACTCTGATACTCTTTCCATCACACTCTCCATGTCACATTCCATCACACATTCCATGTCAGATAGAACTGGAGTGGCTACTGGCATTTTAAAAATTTAGTTAAGAGAAAGATGAGTTAGTAATATATTTATTCCTGTTTAAGGAGATATACTCATATTTTTGTGTTCACACTCACTTTCACTTACAAGTTAAGTTATTGCTATGCAGAAAGCACAAGCCAACTGTGCTGACTCACTAGATGTCATGACAGGTACAGGCCCATGGGCTGAAGTTACATGTCAATTAACATGTCGATTAACATAAAGGATTAACGTATACAAGAAAAGATAAGTAAGGTGTGATCTATTCACAAATGGAACACTGTATAGAAATAGATCAAGAATAAAATTCCTGGGCCGGCCCGGTGGCGCACTGGATAAGTGCACCGCTTGGGAAGCGTGGCGGCGCTCCCACCCGAGGGTTCGGATCCCACATACAGACCGGTTCCCGCTCACTGGCTGAGCGAGGCGCGGGCGCAGCGCCGAGGGGTGCGATCCCGTTGCCGGTCCCCGGTCCGGTACGGGGGCAACACTGAGGGTTGCGATCTGTTGCCGGACACGGAAAAAGACAAAAAGACAAAAAAAAAAAAAGAATAAAATTCCTGCTGCACAAAAAATGGATAACTTTCATAGACAGAATGTTGAGAGGAAAATGTCACACACAAAAGAATATATGCTGTGTGATTTCATTTATATAAATTTTTTAAATAGACAAAACAAATCTTGGATAATAGAAGTCAGAATAGTGGATACTTTGGGTAATGATCCCTAATTTAATCTCACAGATGATTATGCAGGTAGATTTCATTTATTTTATTTTATTTTATTTTGTTGATATACGATGTGGTTGATTATTGTAGCCCATTACCACAACCTCCCTCCCACCTCCCTCTCCCCCCTTCCTCCCAACAATGTCCTTTCTGTTTGCTTGTCGTATCAACTTCAAGGAACTGTAATTGTTATGTCTTCTTCCCCTACCCCCACCCCGGTTTTTTTTTCTGTGTGTGTATTTATTTATTTATTTTTAGTTCCCACCAATAAGTGAGAACATGTGGTATTTCTTTTTCTGTGCCTGACTCGTTTCACTCAATATAATTCTCTCTAGGTCGATCCATGTTGTTGCAAATGGTAGTATTTCATTCTTTTTTATAGCAGAGTAGTATTCCATTGTGTAGATATACCACATTTTCCATATCCACTCATCCGATGATGGGCATTCGGGCTGGTTCCAGCTCTTGGCTATTGTGAAGAGTGCTGCAATGAACATTGGGAACAGGTATACCTTCGACTTGATGATTTCCATTCCTCTGGGTATATTCCCAGCAGTGGGATTATTTTTTTTTTAATGCACCAGGGTGTTA